AATAGTTATTATAGATTAGATGTAAACTTTTGGCAATTACAAAGGCATTCTCACTTTGTGTAACTGCAATTCTTAATCCATTTAAAAAGAAAGGGTAATCAAAATTGGTTGGAATAGTTTAACAGTGTTATATACATAAACTAATTAAATCCATAACTTAAACAACTCTATCACTTGAATAAATGCTATTACTTGATATAAATAATTACTTAGTTTTATTATACAATATCATAATAATGACATTTAAAGGTCCTCCATTAGTAACAACTTAAGTAATTGCACTAATCATGGCATCTGGATATGATTCCCTTATTTTTAATTCACATAAAAGGGCTTTCAAAATTTTTCTATATCCAGGTATATCTTTCCAAGGGATGATGTCTTTTTAGAATTTTTATTATATATGTAAACATAAAGCTTAAACAAAGAAAAAGAAGGTTGTATTTCTTTTAGAAATAATTCTACGCCATTCTTCATCTGAATTCATTGTTATGGCATTGATATTTAAATTAGATGGTAAATAATTATAAAAGTAACTTTACCAATCAAATAAAACTGTAACTTATTCAGTTCTAAAATTTTCTGGATCATCTAATTAATAATCAGTACCACGCCATTCTGATAATTCAGGATCATTAGGATTTTAAAGAGCATTAACAAAAGCTTCTCTAAATTCTGGAACTTTAAAAAATGAACTAGCCAAGAATTTTTCAACGAATGCTTTTTCTTTAGGAGACATATCTTTTAAACATATTTTTTATAAAGCAATATTTAATGTATTGTATAAGAATTATTAAAAATGACAACAAATTTAATTCTTAAACTTTAATTGTTTTTTGTTTAATTATTTACAATCATCAAAATATCCCATTGAACCTAAACTTAATTCACCTCTAGTGCATACAATTTATAAAATTTCATAATAAATTTCTCTAATATTTCCTTCAATTTTATCAACAAAATTAAATAGATTTTCTGCAATTTTAATAAAGATCTCTTATCCTTTCATCAAATCATCATAACTTTTGTAATAAAATTGACTTAATTATGAATCCTTATCACTTTTACTAACAGCTATTAATAATTATTAAGCAGTATTCTATAATTCAGTCATCAATTATTATTTTTAAGATACTTGATTATTAGATGATAATTTAAACATTACTTAACTTAATTTCTCAAATTAACTAACTACTTCACTAATTTCCTTTATACTTTAATTAGCTAAAATACCTGTTCCAATAGTACATCCCTTCTCTGTTCTTAATCCAATCATTTATTATTTCATATGTACAGGTATTTTAATTGTAAAGTCTGATTACATTTATCCAATCTTATTCCCTCTTAACCACAATCCTTTTGTTATATTACATCTATGAATACTATAATCATCCAATTATTCCTCTTGATTTTTTAATAAATAATTCAAAGCTATATTAGATTCAGCAAATATGACTTTTTCTATTGTTTCTAAATGATAATTTAAAGATTTAACTGATTTTCTAGTTGGTGAATGATCCTCTATTGATTTATTAATACTCCAAATACAAACTTATAATGAGGAACTTGAAATCTCATTTATTGGCAATTCTACAATTAATTTAGGCATATCTGTATTCAACCATTGTATTCGAAATAATTCATCTTAGATACTATTGTAAGATGCATTCCTGCCTCTAATATAAGCAGGATTATTAAATTTCTCTGAATTTTCTGATAAGAATTGCATTTTGTGAGTCACTAACTTTAAATTGAATACATATTATTTTTCTTATATGCATGTATTCATTGTACATATGATTTCTTAAGGATTTATTTCTAGTTAAAGAATTTATGCCATAATCATATTAAATGATATTCTTCCTTTTCCTATTTAATAATCAAAAAATTGAGGGCCTTAAATAATGTCATACAAGGTAATTTTCAATTAAGCCAATTCTTTATCATCTTCATAAAGAAAGAATACTAAATATTTTTCTTTCAATTATATTTCATTTGCTTCTAATTACAATGTTATTTTTCTCTTCCACTATCATTATAAGTAAGCAATCTTACACCATGTTTTCCTTCCAAATCAAAATGTTTTGGAGTATCACATTTGTAATATCCACCGATATCAATTTTAAGATGACATGATCTTGATGGATGACTCAATCTAATATTAAATAACTCACTATTGAATTTCATAGTTCCGATTCCAAATTTTTTGGCATTTGATTTCTAAGGTGATTTGTTCTGTTAAATTTAACTTGTACAATGACCCATCAAAATTAATATGTAATTTAATAATGTTATATAAAGATAGAACAACAAGTAGTATTTTGTATTTCTAACATATCAACTTAAAAACTTCTGTTTACATCAATTGAGATAAGTTTTAATTACAATAAATTTTTATAAACATTTAATTATAGAATTTATTACATTGAATTCAGTTTATTATTTTGAGATTTATGGTCAAATGCATGATTCATCTCTTAATCCGATATACTAGTTTCAAGCAAAACCTATTTATAATTGAGTAACATGTGAATTTTCAAGTTTATAATATATATTTATACAAATAAATTTCTGTCCAATAACACTGTAAAATAATTTACAAATTATTAGACATTCTTCTATTCAGAGTGACAACAACTTATTTTTCTCCCCAAAGAAAATTACTATAATTATCAATCATTTAAAACATAATATATTCATTGCTTAGTTGCTTCCATTTTAAGGAAGTGAATATTTCTCGAATTAACTTCCTATCCAGCTATTTTTGATACAATCGAATATGAAATAGCACTTTTTATTGAAGCATACGAACATCGTTTTGCTGATTTGCAAATCTTTTATTGCTTTATTACATTCTATTTGTAATATATGATTATGGATTTTGCAGTTGCGTACTTAATCTATAATCTCTAAGCAGCCTTATTTCAAATATAGAAATTCATACATTTTTGATATTCAGACCTTAAATTAAGACTAATTCGGCTAAAAGTTTTTTGGTTTATGAAGAACTCTTGATGTATGATCTTTTACTCCTTTTGTAAACATAATTCATTTGCTATTGAAAAAAATCTTGAAAAAATAAATACAAGAGCATATAAGAAATTTGATTTACAATTTACAATTAATATAAAATGTCTGTATCTTGGAAAAGTCATAGAAATATTACAAACTTATTCAGACAATTTTAAAGAGACATCTATTTTAAATTGATATTTAGACTGAACATGAAAATTCTTAAAAATTCTAATTAAAGTTAATAAATATATATACAATATTTTAAGTATTATTATTATTAAAATAGAAAATGAATTATTTAACTCCTAAATAATAAAAATGGAGATAAATAGGACCTTGTATTACTGATTTCACATATGAAAACAATATTGATTGGCCTGTTACATCTTGTAAATGGGGACCTATTGTATAAGAATCCAAAGAATACATTAGACAAAAAGTATATTTTGCCATAAAAACAGATGGTATTTATGATGAAGTTACAAATATATGGAAATAAACACCATGTCAATTAATTGTAGCTACTGTAGGTAATATAGTATGATTATTTAGATATACCTCAAGTGAAATATTCAATTAATCATCAAGTTACTTTTGTGTATTAGTAATTGTAATTATATAAAAACCCGCATTTAAAAATACGTCAAATCATAGTACATCCAGGAGATGTAAATATAATAAAATGTAATACAACTCAAAAATTAATTGCCACAAAAAGTGATAATAGCAATGTACTTGTTTGGGATGTAACAAAACATAAAAATTAATAAAATCCAAAAGACCCACATGCAGGTATTCCTGAAATATATTTGATGGGTCATTCTTAATAAGGTCATTCAACTGCTTTAGATTGGTCTCAAGAATACAAATTAGGTAGTGGTGGTAAGGATTGTAAAATATTATTATGGGATATTAATGATTATCAAACTCGTTTATCAACAAGTTCTATATTTACAAATAAAAGAGAATTAAATAATATTTGTGGCAATGATTCAATTAAATTAGATAAAAGAACAGTCTTAACAGGACATTAAGCAGAAGTTGTTGATATGTCATTTAATAAATTTTAAACAGATTAATTAGTATCTTGTTGTTAAAATAGACAGATAATATGTTGGGATTAAAGAATGGATGGAGGTAAATGTTGGAGTCTAGATGAAGTACATAAAAAAGATATTCATTGTGTAAGTTGGAGTTAACATGATGAAAATTATATTGCTAGTGGTTCATTAGATGGTAGTGTACATATTATTGATATTCGTAAACCAATTGGAATTTAAGAATATGTTAAAGAAGTTGATAATCTATCATAAGTTTATTCATTATAATTTGGACCTGATAGAAATCATTTGACAATTGGAAGTGAAGAACTTTATTCAGTTAATTTCTAAACCAAAGAAACTACATTCTGTTATTTTGGTCATAAGTAAATTTCTTATATTATTCATTATAAAGAGGAAGTATCAATGATTTTGATATAAATGAAAAAAGTCCTTGGACATATGTTAGTACATGCTAAGAACATGAATATTTTGGTGGAGGATGCTTACATATATATCGTTTATTAGATTTAGTATATTTAAATGAAGAAGAAGGATATTAATAATTAAGTAATTGAAATTTAATCTATATTTAATGATATTTTTCATAAGTATATATATATGATTGTAATAGAACTATTAAATATAGAATATCATGATCTTCTATATATTCATAAATTTATTAGAAAATAGATGTTTAATTTACATCTTAAATCATTTATCTTTGAGTTAATACTAAATTAAATTAAATTAAAATAAGTTATATTTTATTTCTATTTTATTCAATATTCAATTCTTAAAGAATGTATAAATAGAATAGATAAATTATTCAGTATCAATATATTTAATTTAAATCTAATAGTTTAATACTAAATGATATTAATGAAACAAAAAATAAAAATGTTAACAATATATATTAATATTATTTAATATAACAATTAATATATTTAATCATCATGTCAAATAAAACTGTTTATCCTTGGCAAAAATATTCAAAAAATCCACTTATTGTAAAAGATGATGTTGGAAAAGCAAAACCAAATACCTACCCAATTCCTAATTGTGCATTTGGTACTCGTACTGTTCCTGGAAAAGAGGAATCCTTAGGAGAAGTATTGTGTCATATGGAGCATTTTGCTTCAATGGAGATAAGACCAGAAAGGGATTTCAAAAAAACTAATATCATGAGTATCAAACGTAATTTGTGTACAGCTAAAGAATTCTAAGAATTTAGACAGTCACATGATATTAGATAAAAGGTTGTTTAGGGTAAACCAAGAATAAATGAGACTCCTAAATAATAAGTATTCGGTAGAAAAAATAAGTATAAAGTTAAATCTAATCTTAAGAACTCCTTCACCAATTAAAAATGTTTTAGCATATGATTATGGTGCAGTAGCTGAGAAATAATAAGCAGAAGCATATACACCAAGGCCATCAACTGCCAAAAGTAGAATTTCAGCAGAAACTAAATCAAGTAAATTATTAAAAGAAACAATTAAGAAAAATCACTTAATGTAATCTTAACCAGAATAATTGAAAAAGTTATCTCAATTTGCTAATGTCAAAGCTAAAACTAAAACTAGATATTGAATTATATTTCTATCCATCATTTGTTATTACAATCTTATCATTAATCTATAATGAATTCGATTATATATATTAAATATCAAATGTATAAGTGCTAATAAGTCTTAAATTTTATATATATATATCAAATATTATATAAAGTTTTAGTCTCTTTATTATTTGATTATTTTAGAACTATTCTTATATTAATTCTAAAAAATAGAGGATTTTTAAATTGTCTTTTTTGTTAATTTTTATAGTGTGTACTCTTAATAAGAATCTTAATTTTATTATCTTTAGTTATTCATTGAACTAATACAAATTCCACAGTATTTAAATATTTTTTTTTGTAATTATATACTATTTGATTATTCAAGAGATAATAAACATACTATACTACTTTTTAAGGGTAATTAAATAATTAGATTTTTTTCTATTACTTATTTTTAAGTCATATACAAAGGTTAACAGGAAGAGAGAGGATTTGATAAAATAGACTTATATAATGAATAGAGATTTATTTATAATAGTAGTCATCATATTTGTTTATTTATGTTATCTATGAAATTATTTTATTTATTTAAATATATATTCATTTAGTATATGAATAAAAATCCTTTTAATTTAAACTTAAACCATGAAATTGAAATTAAATATTTAACTAAAATTGCTATAAAAATTGATCATAAAAATATTCATTATTTCTTTTAAATAAATAGATAAATAGAAAATAATAAAAAAATAAAGGTTATCAATACAAGGACTCCATAAACAGTCCTAAATACTTAGAGAGTTCTAATTGGATATAATACTGTAGTCTACTTAGTATAATTAACAACTATATTTGTTAATCAATTCATTTTTTATTATAGTATTATAATCAATAATCAAATGAATAATACAATATTTATCAATATCTAAATCTTTATTATATGCTGAGATCAGGTAAGAATAATTATATAGGTGCAATGATATCATGTTCAAAAATGTAATCGTTGTGTGTCATATCTGGTCTAATTCTTTTTACTGATTTTGCCTTAACCTTATTCGGAAGACTATGATATAAAATTATAAAATTAAAACTTTGCGAATAGAATTTCTGTGTGTTATTTATCAACGATATCATCATCTGCACCATGTATCATAAGCATAGGAGATTTAGCATGTTGAACACGTTATAAATTATCAAATTTTGATGGAATTAGATTTGCTATCCATTCAAAGGTTTTCTCTTTGATAATATCTTTTATAGAGGTAAAAGAACTTAGTACAATAACTGCTCTACATTATCTTAAACTATTTATATAGAAGGCTGGTCCAGTTCCTATTGATCTATGTTTAAATTTAGTTTGATACCTTCCAAAAACAATAATTTGATTGTTTTTTAGTTTGTATTTGTCTTAGATATGATCAAACAATTAAAGTGCATCTTATTCGACAATAGAATCATGAACATCAACATTTTGATAAATGCCATAACCTGGATATTCAGATAGGATGGCGTTGAATTTACAAGATTGTTAAATCTCATATATAAATTATTAAGCATAGTTTCTAAAGAATAGAGTAAGTTTAATATACATATCTTCGTCTTTGGCATGAAAGTAAATTAAGTATATGTCAGTGTTACAAAAAGGATGTTCCATAATTAAGTATGGAGCATTTCTTACATGTTTTCCACCATAATGTATTTTTGCATAATCTATACAGTTTAAATAATCTTTATTTGAATACATCGGTTTAGGTGCCGAAAACATCACTTTTAATACTAAGTTTTCTATCATTATAATAAATATTATTAAATTAATAATGTTGTAAAAATTATATAATTTATAATGTAGAAAACATAAGTGGTATTCTAATTTGATTATTTATTGATATAAACATAAATTCATTATAATTTTTTTTATAGATAGTAACACAATGATTTGATATCATATTTTTATAGATATTCACTGCTCACCCATCGATTTTTTGGTATCATACCTAATGTATTATTAAATTAAAGAATACCATTACATCTTTTTTACCATAATAAATAATACATTTTAATGCCTGTTTATTTGATCTATGCAGCTTATCCTATTTTATCTAATTAATCTCCATATTCAAATCCTCCTTCATTAGGTAATTTAACCTCGGTATTCTTTTGAGATAATTCAGAAATAGAATCTTAAATATTCTCAGAATCCTGTTATTAATTTGTTTATTATACTTTCTTCTCTTAAGGTAGTGTCTATATCAATTAAATAATGTCTTCATATTATTTTTTTACTTGATTTAATTCTTGTTTTAATGAACAAACTTAATCTTGAAGTTTCTTAATTTATTCTTATTATTATTGTAATACAGTTTGTTTTTATTGACATGGAACTCCTATAAAATCTTCTAATAAAGGTGGTTCATCATTTTCAATAGAATAAAAATTGGATCCTAAATTTTTGACATTCTATTCATATTCACTAAAATATTCAATTAAATTTGGAATCTTTTCTGGTTTTTCCCATGTACAATCTCTATTGTTATATCCTTACCATTTAACAAGATAGTATTTTTATCCTTGATATTATTTATAATCGAGAATCTTTTCAATGAAATATAAACCTTTTTTCTTTTTGGACATTTAGTACTCTTTTATTTAAATAAAATTATAATTCTAATTTATATTTTAATTAAATTATACATAGGAACATAATTGTAAGTCACTTATTTATTTGACCATGTCTATCCAATCATATTTTTTATTATAATATATTTATTATAAAATCACATCATAAAAGAGATTATAATAAAAATAATCATTTATATCTTTAGTAAATATTAGGTAATGAAAAAGAATCTTTATCTTTCTTCATTTTCATATATTCATCTATTTCCAATGTCATTTCTTCAGATTTCAATTTATATCCTTCAAAATCATCATCATTGAACACTAAACTCTTTTGAGATTACCTTTAAATCTATGGTAAAATATTTTTATCTTTAATTTAATTATCCATATGATCTGATATTGATAATCCTCTTAATTCTTTTGGTTTATTGACCTTCTTAATATTCTTTGGACTACAATTAAAATATTATTTACTGACACATTAGTGATAACATCTGGATTCTTTTTTTTTTAGATTGCTACCACACCAATAACCTTGCATTAATTATTATTCTACGAAGTAATCGAACTTGGTGATTATTATAAATAATTGTTGTAAATATTCTTTGAAAATACTATTTTTTTCTTAACTGCCTTTAATGGTGATGAATTAAAGGCATTTCTTAACATATTATCTCTTTCCAAATACTCATCATACATCAATTCTTATACAATTTATTGTACAGACTTATTTGAAAATTTGTGAAGCTATTAATATTACATTTTTTTATTAATTTTATAATCATTAATAAATATAAATAGAAAGTTGTCACAATTTCTGTTTATTTAATACATTTAATACATTATTGATATTATAAGCAACTTTATAATGTTGATATTCCCAAATTTTATCAATATCAAGAATAGAATCTTAATCCTAAATGTTTGTTTAATTGATCACTGTATCTGGCACTTGTAAATGTTTAATCAAAGTACTACTTATAATAGGATCACTAATCTTGTCAGATATCAAATCAATTTATAGTATATCTTTATATATTTAACTAATAGAACTCTGTCTACCAATCTAATCAAATTATAATTGCTAATTAGACATATTCACTTTATCACTAGAATAATCAGAAAAGGCTTCAAAACTATTTGAACTAATATCATTAATATCAATGTTACTAGTTCCTTAATTTGTAATCTAAATTTCAATGATCAATTACTTATTAATAAATACCTGCTTTAATTCTATTGTTCTTTTTTCTCTTAAACATAGAATCTCTCTCTTAACAAGTCTTATCATAAGTGAATCTTCTTTTAATATTTAAACAACAACAATTAAATGTTGGATGATATAGATTGCAAAAATAACATTATATATTCAATAACTCTGTATTATTGTTGAAATTAATATCATCCTTTATCATCTAATACTTTTCCTAAACATTATAATATATTAATTACTATTTCAGTCTCTTTTTGTAAACAATTCTGAAATTAATCCTAATTTATGTAAAAGTATAATATGTCATTTATATCAAATGGTTCTAATCTTAATTTTCTCTATTATTATTAAATATTCATCATTTCAATTAAACATATGTTAATAATCTTCCTATTATCAATTTATAATTTCAATCCCATAAATTCTAGATTGACTCTTCCATTAAGTATGATATATATTCCATTAATTTCTGCTTAAAAATTCTTAAATTTATAATTTAAATTACTTATTATTTCAAACTTAGTTCAAATAATCCCTTCATACTGATTTCATTTATGACTTTTTTAGATAGAAAGTTAAACTATCTTAGTTCCTAATTAATTAACTTCATTTTTATATATTATAATATATTCTACTTTTTTATCTTCTATCTTGTACTTAATTCATTTTCTATTAATAAAAATAGTGTTGAATAATGAAACAAAATAAACTTAACTTTAAATTATATCATATCTGATTTTAAGAATAATTAATATGTTTTTAAATTAATTTCATGTTTTGATAATTGTGATTAATATTATGTAAATATTTTAAATAAGAAAATAACTATTATAATGTTACTAAATAAATGTGTAAGTATTATTAAGTGATTTTATTAATTATCTAATTGATCAAATTAAAAAAAAAACATTAGAAATGATTTATAAAATTATTCGTTATATATTAAATCTTCTTAATTACTTTATTTTAATTCTATTCCCCATATGCAAGTAAAGTAATGTATTTAGAATAATAATATTATGATCATTTTAGTAATTATTATTTATCTAATATATAAAATATATGTGTTACTAATAATTAATAAATATGATTAAACTTAGCAATTTTTAAATAAATTTTAAATTTCTTAAGAACAACAAATAGTATAAAATAGTAAATACTATAATGTTGTTTGTTATAATGCAAAGTGTATAAATTAATAAGATTGTAATATTTAATAATGATATTGAGAAGTGATTTTCTTTGAAAAATTAGTTTAGAAATTTGATAAATTAAGTGTATAATTCTGATATCATTAAAAATAAAAGAACTGGAAAATATATTGGATCTGATTTTCTTAAAATTATTATAAATTAATTACTCATAGTTCTGAAAATAATAGTAAGGTAAATAGAAAGTTAAAAAAAGGAGTGAAATGTTCATTAAGTTGAATGAAATAATTTTTGTATACAAAAACATTTCACATGAAAAGAGAAGAGATTTTTGTTTATCTAATATACGTTGATTTTAATAGGAACATAGAGTCTCTAAATTTTTTGGAACTTGATTGTTTTCACTTCCAGAATCACTAAATTTACTAAGCTACATCTGAGTATTGATTTAAGGGTCTTTACTAATTGGAATAGAGCTGAAATTGGAAGTTTAAAAGGAGGGCCAACAAACAGAAACATCATTAGATGGATATTTTAAGGGTTTGTTCATCTCTAATTCTACACTTTTTCTCATTTTTTAAACTTTTAGAAATTAATGAATTACTTTTTATAGATTATTATCAAGAATTTGTAAAATAATAAATATAATAGTACCTAATTGATAATTAGATGATATCTTTTATATTTAGTAGTTTATAGTAGTTTATAGTAGTTTATAGTAGTTTATTGTAATTATAGCAGTTATATCATTTAGCAATTTAATTAATAAATATATATAATGCTTGATGGTCGTGCTGCAACTTCGGGTAATTTTAACAACAAAACAACATCCATAATTCCATTATCATAATTGAGGAGGATGAGAAATAGCAGTTGTGAAATCTAAGATAATCATACTATGATAGAGAAATAAGACTTGTATATTAGATATATATATATAACTAATCAGACATGCTAAATCCTAGGAGAGAGTGAAAAAGTGGCCATGTGCTATGAATATTAGAAGAAGAAAGAATCAATCACAATTTGAGAGATTTGCAGAAGATGAAGAAGAACGTAGAAGAATTGAAAAGGAGGAAGCTGAATATCAATAGAAATAAAAATAAGATGTATTATTAAGAGCAAATAGATTAATTTATGAGAATAATCCTTTTATTAGATAATTTTAGTAGAAACTGTTATTTTCAGATGTTCTTTAAGAAAGAGATTCTTAACTTTAATTAAATGAGTACAAAAAGACTATGAATAAGTAATTTATTGATTTAATGATAATAGTGTGAGAGATAAGTTGTATAATGAAGAACAGTTAGAGATTATGGCTAATTATGATTAAACAGAAAAGCTTAAAGAAGAAGAATTAAAACGAAAGAAATAAGAATAAAAAAATGTACTTAAATAATAACATGATGAAATGATTAATAATCATATAAAATAAATGTAGAATGAGAAGATTGAGGGTTAATTAATTAAAGCAAGAGCATAAAAATTAATTTAAGAGGAAGAGGAAGCTGAAAAGGAGAGGAAGAGAAAGAGATATGAAAATATGCTTGAAATTAAGAAAGGTAATGAGGAAATTAAAGAATATAAATTATAATAATTATAAAAAGATAAAGAATAAGAAGAATAAATTAAATTACATGGAGAAAAGAAAGATAGAATTTTAGAAATGAGAAAATAAAGAGAATAAATTAAATTTAAAGAAAAGTAAGAATAAAGATAAAAATTAATTGATGCTTAAATTGCTATTCTTATGAAAAAAGAAGCAGAATAATTATAATTAATGAATAAATAAATAAAAGAAGCAGAATAAAAAGATGAAGAAGTAGAAAAATTAAAATTAATTAAATAAGAAGCATAAAAGAAAAAGATTGAAGATAGTAGAAATATTATTAAAGAATTTAAATTAAAAGATAAAATAATAAAAAATTAAAATGATAAAGAATTTTAATAATATTGGAAATAAAGAGGAGAAGAACTCTAAAAAATAGAATAAGAAGATTTAGATAATTAAAGAAAAAGAAATTAATCAGTAAAAGATTATTAATTATAATAAATAGAATAAAAATAGGTATTAAATATTAATATAAAAATTAGAAAATTAAAGAATAATAAATACTATAAGAATTATAATAAGATGAAGATATTAAAAGATAATAACATTTAGAAAATAAAACATTTTTTACATGGGCAGAAAGAGCAGTTAAAGAATGGGCTGACTAAGGAAAGAATATTCGTCCTTTAATCAAAGAATTAGCTAAATTAAAAGAAATTTGATCTTTCGATTAGATTACTTATTTTTTTAATAGAATTTATTAATAATAAAATTAAATCAATTAATTGAAATAATAATAATAATAATATTATAAAATTTTAAGGATTCTCCAATTTATATCCTCTCCTTAAATCACTTAATTTCATAGTTCAATAAGGAATTATTATAATTTTATTAATAATTATATCAATATTATTTTGTTGAAGTTAATTTAAATGATATTCACTTCATCAAATTGGGATTCTATGTTAAATACTAAACAAAAATTAGTTACAATACATTTATTTGATAGATAATTATATGTAATATTTAAAAAATTATATAATTTAAGAATGATTGAATAACCAGATATATTTAATGATGATTAAGCATATAAAAAATATTTAGAAATAAAAGATTAGACAGAAAGAGAAAAGAAAGCAAGAGTGGATAAAATTTTAGATGATTATTGTTATAGATAATTAAATTTACCAGCAGCTGAGTATAGAAGTTAGTAAACAGATTTAATCTACAGACCATAACATTATCCAGTTGAATTAGTTCATCCAGAAAGAGTACATTATACATCCTAATTTGTTGGTTTCAATCAATAATCAAACTATTAATAAAGAAGATAAAAAGCTATGAATAGAATTCCTTAATAAGTTCAATATTATTATCCTCCTTCAAATCCATTTTTATAAAATGCATAATAGACTCTTAATTAACAATAGTTATTACCTAGTTTAAGTTTATAATAAGGGAATCTTGGCTATAATTAATAATTAATGACTTAATCAACTCCTTAAATTGTATATTAGAATGATGCAAAGTCTGATTTTTTAAGAAAATGTGATAATTTATAGAATAGAATGGATTACAATCTTAGAAATGTTGACAAATTTTACTAATATTATTGAAAGAAAAGTATTAATGATATATATATTCACACTGGTATAAAATATTTTTATATTGCATTAATGAACCTTTTTTTATAATCTCCTGGATTAACAATTGTTGGTACCTATATATTAGGAATAAAATTAATATCATACCATTCCTCCTTTTAATAAATATTTTAAATAATGTTCAGTTTCCTTATCCCATGTATAAAATCTTAAATAATCTATGATACCCATTCTTAATTTCTTTTACTTTTAGTCTATTATTAATAATAATGAATAATCAATAACATTTTATTTATTGAGAAATTTACAATCAATCTATAAATAAAATTGAAATAAATACTTAAAATGCTCTATCATTATATCTATAATTCTCTTTGAGAATAGGAATAGGTTCTGAATTTCTATCAATTCTGAAATTAGTATCTAAAAGAACTCCTTTCTTTTTCTTTTCTAATCTATTTGTTTCACTTCCTTTGAGATCATATACTAAAAGATTAGATGGATCTCCCATTCCAAAATATAAATTTTCCATAACTAAAAAGTATTCTGTTTATCCTCTATCTCTAATTTCAAACATTCCAAAGATTTTACTTAATAGAGAAGGTTTAGATTCATAAAAATGTCTGTACATATGTTTAAAATAATCTAAAGCAAATTGTTTAAACATCATAAATTCTTTGTCTTATTCTAATTTTTTGAATACAAATAATTCATCATTTGATTTATAGAATTTAGATTGAGATTTACCTCCAGATGCACTCCATATATTAGTAGAAGATATAGATTTAATAAATGATGATAGAGTAATTCCTGCTAATAATCTAAGTGCTTCAAATTAAGTAGGAAAATAAATAAGAACTTCAATCCACTTTGTTTTACGAACTTGAGTTGTAGGAATAAATTATTATTAATTATTTAATGGTAATGATTTATCTTATTAAGCATCATCAAATTAAGTAGATAAATTATTTTGATATTATTATTATTATTATTATTATAAAATTATAGTATTTGATCTATCATTCTTTTTTTCTACATCATAATTTATTTTCAATATAAATATATCTCTATTATCTTATTTCTAATATAATTATTATTGATTTAAATTATTATTATTATTACCTAAATCTACACTCATATATCTAATATTTTCAACCTCTTATTTCTATTCTTTTGGTGATAATAATGATTAAAAGAATAGTTTAGCCTACTCGGATGATTTTTGTATAGACTCAATCATTCCAAAATCTTAAGTTTATAATGATAGTAATTACTTTCTTTTTGATAAATTTCATTGATATATTTTGGATGATTAAGTGTGAATGATAAATAAGATAATGGTTAATTTTCATAGATTGGAACAAATTCCTATAACAATAAAATAACATCTATACATAAATCATTTGAGACTTAATTAATTTTTATTATTCTGCAAGAAATGAACTAATATTCCATTCTTTTTAAAAATTATTGATTTCAATAGTAGGAATAATATTATTATTAGTTTAATTAATATTCATATTATCAAGATCTTTATTAGAATCATGATGTGTTTTATGAATGGATTATTGTAATGTTTAATTTGCATCAATTAAATTTAAAATAACTTAATTATTATGAATTTCAGATCCAATTCTTCTATGATTTCTAACAAATAAAGGAGACTATTAAGTATCTAATTCAGGTGAATATAAAGGTGGTATAATTAAATCACTTAAATCAACCTTTCCAGAACTTTCTCTATGATATTATTCTTCAATTTCTTATAAAGAATGTTTTTATCCTGAAATTTAATAATGATCTTCTAATTCTTAATTTGAATGATACTATTTGGCTTCATTTAAATTATTACCAGAATCAACCTTCTCTAATTCATAGGTTGTTTTAATCTAATTATTATTAGTTACTAATATTGAATCTTAATTCTTTAAATTAACTGCAGCATTCTATATGATATTTCTCAAATCAGAATTCAATTCTTTCTTCTTCTTATGTTCTTATATACTTTACATAATATTCTTATATTAAAGTCCAAAATCTTAAGATTATTTAAGTACTTAAAAGATTGATATATATTATGTTTCAGCCAATATTTTCTCACATTCCTCTTTTAATTATTTAATTGATTTTATTAATAAATCAATTTCTCCTTTTGCTAATGATTTAGGTATTAAATTAATCAATGTAATTCCAAATGTATTTAATTTATTCATTAATTCATCTTTTAATTATCTGATATAATTTTATTCCCAAATCTTTAAATAATCATTTAATGAATTATCAGAGAAATTCAATAAAGTAGTTTAATAAACATCAAATTCACCTACCATCACTTTCATTTAATATCCATAATATGTATAGACTCTTTAAACTTGAGAATGATTACATTATGTTGAATTTTAATAATGATTTGTATTAATATTTTAAGTAAGAAATAATTATTGTAAGAATCTTAAAAATGAATATTCCAAATATTTCTAACTTAAAATTACTCTATCAGATAATTATTACATACATAAATTACATTCAAAATAAGTTTCTATTTATATTTTTTCATTTGAATGATTCTATTTAATTATACTTGGTAAATCTTTTAATAAAAATGTACCATTCTCATCATTTTATTAAATTTATGATTCTTCTTTTTACAATACTATTTATTTTATTTAATTCATTTATCCATCTACACTAAATTTTACATATCTACCAGCATTATAATATATAGAAACATGACTATTTCTTGGTAATTTACAATATTCACATCTGAATTATAAATTAGCAACTTTTAATATTATAAATGCACCCATAGACATATCATCATTTGAATGATAATAAGCTTTAGGTTTTTCAGTTGGCATATTACACATATCAGCAAAAAAATCAACCACCTTATCATTTTAAGGTGGAAATTCTTTTTGATAAGCCAATAGAGCATTCATATCTTTAATATCATTAAAATTATGAATGTCTGCTCTAGCATAATTAATTTTTACATAAGCTAGATCTGGTTTTATAACTTCTTTTAGATTAACTTTTTCAAATAAAAACTTTGTAAAATCACCAACACAAAAATTGAATTATTTATTTTATCTTAATTTCTATTCACAAAGTATTATATATCTTTCCACATCAAAATGTTTACCTAATCTCATGCAACCAACAATACATTATTTCAATTTCTATAATAAATCTTCTTATGGTCCAGATAACATAATTGTTACTCCATTTTTACCATCTTTTGTTTCAATGAACATTAATGTATTATCTTTTCCAGCTACATCTTATTTATCAGGATTTGGTCTTGGAAAATTACGAAAGAATATCTTTTCACAATTTCCAGTTACTTATGTTTCTTTTTATATATAACCATCTAATTTATCTAGACGTACAAATTTAGAACCTGTACATTTAGCTATTTTTCTTAATTAATGTATTTTCACATTTTAAACAACTGTAATATTGAATTTACAACATATATCTAATGCTACTTTACTAACAGATTTCTCAACAATTATAATTGTAGGTTTAAAATTTTCTTTAATTTTTTCTATATAATCTTAAAGTACTCTTTTTTCTTTCAATATAAAATCATCAAATTATTAAGTTTCTTCAATGAAATCCAGATTACCATGTATAATCAATATACGAGGTTTATAAAGTTCAGTTTACATTCTTTTCAGTGCTATGTTCTTTCTAATAACAATGCCTGGAAAGTAACAAGTTAATGAATAATCTTTGTATGGCAATAATTTAGTTTTTACATAACAAGTAATATCTAGAGGATCAGAATTAAGAGATGAAAATTAAATATCTTCTACAGCTCTTTTAACAAATTCAAAAGTAGTTATTTTTAGACTATCAAAATGATTATCATGATTTCGTTAAGGTTATATAAATATCTTTAAACTATGATCACATATATTTTCCATTTATTAATAACATTTTTCCTTTAATAATGATAATTATGATTTCAATAATTCTGATTCCTTATTTTTATTCTATTCTTCAGGTGGAAAATAACTTTGTATACTCACCTAAACAATTTCAGGATTAAATTCTTAATCATTATTCATATTATCTTCCTATTCTTCAGTTACTTAAGTTGTTTATGATCTAGATATAGTATATGATTGATCATCCTATTTATGTATGGATTCTCTTCTTGATAAATTCAATTATCCCTTATCAATTGATACACTGACTACTCTGGTTTCAAAGGTATTTTCTAATTTATATCCTTATGCTTTCAACAATTTTAATACTTAATCATAACATACACCACACAATCTTACTTTCTTCTCTGTATTCTATACAAAATGTATACCATCTATAAAATTACTACTACAACTATTATATAATATATATTCTCTTACTCTGAACAAAATACTAATCCACATTTTCTACAATGATGTTTAGTTCTAAACAAATAATAAAATTATCTATCACAATGTTCACATTTTGTCACCTTACTCTCAGCTTTCCATTTGTCTCTTGATATCAATACACCAGATAATTGTTAATCCATATATGATTAATTAAATAATTATAATCTAAAATGTTACCATCTCATCCTTCTCCAGTTGATAAAGATAAGAAAATCAAAATCATGGATGAATTAATTAAGACAAATCAAAAACATATTGATCATCTAAAATAAACTATCACCCAATTAAAAAGAGTAATATTGCATAACCAATTTAGTAATTACAATTTGAATAGAAGAGAAATTAAGATCTTGATAAAGATAATACTATGTTAAAAGATCAAATCAAAAAGCTACTCTCTAAACCACCATTACATACTCAATCTACTCAAACATCAAATGATATCCATAGAAGAGACTCAAGACAATTATCCACTAAAGAAGATTAATAATTTAATAGTGCCTCTAAAAATATATAGAAATCTGATAATGATCAAGTAAATCAAGTAAATCAAAAATAACAAATACTTAATCAAATATCCCCTACAAAATAAGAAATCAAAAAAATCTAAAAACTTGATCTTAAAATTGATATTAATTCTGCACTTTAACGACAATAAAGTGGTCCTATAAGTAGTGTCAAAAAATCTTAAACATATTTACATGGATTAACTAATGTTAAGTTAATTGATGCAATTAAAGAGAGAATCCCTGAAAAATCAAATAGAATTGTAATAATATTATTGATTTGTATCTAGGGTTAAATAACTGGTGATAGAAGCAGTTAAATAAGAAGATCTTTAATGTTTAATTTTTAGAATAATAAATCAACTATCATAGATTGTGAACTTACAGAAGAATAAGAAATATAAAAAAGTAGAAATTCAGATGGAAAATAATAATAACTTATTGAATCAATTGAAGAATATAGAGTAGAAACAATGGAAGTTTCAGCCTTATAATAATCAGCATATAAATTATATGAAAAATTCTATATTATGGGTTGTGAAAAAAAAGAGTTCTTAGAATTTGATAATGATCCTAATATCAAAGAAGGTATTTTACCTGCTAATATCTTATTCAAAAGTGATTCAATAGACACGTAAATTAAATACACTTTCTATTAGTCCTGTATATGAAGAGATAATTAATGGATTTGTATATCCTTTTGGAAATCAAGTTGAGAAAATTAAAGTCAATGATTCATTTCGAAAATTAAAAGAGTAACTAAAATTCATTATTTCAGAATCATGTATTCAGGTAATAAATACGAATTATTGGACAAATTTTCCTTATTTACTATTAAAAATTAAGAAAATAATGATAATTTATCAGAACATACCAATCAGAATTTATTAAATCAAGCTAATCCTGAAAAATTACTTTATGGAATATGTTTATCTGTTTATGATTTTATTGAAACTACTCCTGATCATATTAAATTAACATTTGAAAACAGAAAAAAAAGAATTTTCTGGAAATACAAAAAAACTTATTGTTTTCTTACTTACTTTCCATTTTATGAATTATTTTAAGATCTTCTTATTTCAATCATTAGTAATCAATAAATTTAATATTATTTATAGATTTAATTAAAATCAATAGAACTGATAGATATTTAAAGAAATATTCTGAAGAGTATGAAGTCTTAAAGGATGTTGATGGTTAATAGATTATACTTGTATATTTAATAATAATTTATATAGGAATTTTAAGATGAATTGACAAAATTCTTAAATTTAATCTAAGTTATTAAACCAATGTTAGGACATTAATAATTAGAACTCTAAACATTGGCAGGTACCTTAAAGTACAGAATACCTAATCAATTACAATTAGATATTGAATTAAGATTATGGAGTGCTAATGTCACTTTATAAATTTTAAATTATAAGGAAATCTTAAATATTTTCTTAGCTATGATTTCTGAAATCTCAATCATTTTTGTATGTGAAAAAAGTAATATCTTAACATCTATTATGTATTAAATTTTAAACTAATAAGCCATTTTTTTCATCACATAGTCCGTCCATTAGAATGGACTCAAGGAATCATTTATAATGTACCTGAATAATTATTAACCATGATTCAATCACCAGTTCCAATTATTATTGGAGTCAATCTTACAGAAAGTGATTTCAATTTGATGAGTCTAGCTGATAATTGTGAAAATCACTTATTTGTATTTTTGGATCGTGATAAAGAAAGTAAATTTCTTACTAAACCTTAAAATGTATTAAAAGACATATCCACTCCTTCATTTGGTGGATTATTGTAATAAATAGAGACTATTCTTAAGAATTAAAATAATATACGCAATCCAAGGTAATATTGAAAACATCTCTATTAATTAGTCCAAGTATCAGATAAGTTTCCAATAAAAATGATGATAAAAAGGTCATTAAATTTTATTTTGATGACTAAGATTAAAATAAAAGTAAAAAAGTACTTGAGACTTTTAAAAAGATTATTGAAGATTATATCATATCTAAATTACCATCTTAAAATGAAAATAGAATCAAAGTATATACTTAAATATTTATAATAGGTAGGTCAAGATTTAAATTATCAATTTATTGAACAATACTTAATTTAAAGTTCTGATCCTAAGGATAAAAAGTTCATCTAAAATCTATTTAAAACTCAACATTTCTAATATTTTATATAATAACATTATTGTGATCAGATTTGATGAAAATTTGATTTATTTTATTTTATTTAATTTAATTAATTAATTAGAATATAAAATATAAATTACAAAGATATATAAGAATTAGTCAGTTACTTAAGACTAAAAGTCCTAGAATCTTGAAAATCATGATGGGATTATAAAATAATAAGTAATAAGTAGAAGAAGAATAAATTATTATAAATATATAGCTTAGATTATAGGAAATTGAATAATAAATAACAAAATTATAAGTCAGTCAATATTTTCAAGAAGAACATTTAAACTCGCTCTTAATAAGAATATCATGTACAAGTATTTACTTAATCTATGATATAAAATGAGATGATTTTTTATTAAAAATCCTTCAAACATGAACATGAAAATTCTATTGTAATTCAATCATGACAGATTATTATATTGTTGTTAAGTAATAATTTATGATTTTTAAACAGAAACTCAAAGAGATGGCATACCTTTATAATTGAAAATTGAAAAATATTCTGTTTTGTTACAGCAATTTTATTTATATTTTAGGATATAATTAAATAATTACAATAATCAGTTAGTTGAAAAAGTGAAGATCTAAAGTTATCAGAGTATTTCATAATAATTATGAGGATGATCTAATAATACATTTTTCAACAAATTTTGAAAAAAGGAAAATAATAATAATAGATTTTCTTACAATATTTTCAATAAAATCAATAAGATTTTAAATGATTACTTAATGTTACTCTTAATGAACCTAGAGAAATGAAAATGAGTGGATTTTTGAAGGAAATGAATATATTTATAAAAATATATATCATTATTAATATTATTATATAAAAAGAGAGGGAGATTTATTTGTATAAAAAGAAGGATTAAGTAATTAATTTATATTCATATGAGTCAGAGAAACAATTAAGAAATAAATTAAAGATAAAATTAAGATTTTCTTTGAAATTATGTCCTGTATTATCAATATTTTTAAGAATATTTAAGACACATTTATACAAAATTATGAATATAATTTTAACATTCAATATAATTATATAAATAATATTAATGAGTTCTGAAAAAGATTTCTAATATGATATTCATGATGTCCAAAATATTAAGACAGCTTTCTTAGATTTATAATAAGAGGAGAGTACAGGTTTCAAATTAGGATTTGGAACAGCAATTTTATCATATTTTGTTTTTAGAAGATTCACATACTTAAGAACAGGACCTAGGTATTTAGTAGATTTATTAAAACAGATTCATAGGATCAATGATATTAGGTTCATAAATATATGGATTTTACACACATAGATCAAGAGCATATTATGATTATGTTGCTTAATAAGTAAATTTACATGCATCAGAAGCAATTAATCAATGTTTAGGACATTGAGCTATATAATAATAATTATACAAATAACAAAATATATATTATATGGTGGCAATCATAATAAGAATTCAAAATCTGAATTTTTAATTCCATCTCCAAAATAAGCATATCCAAATGTATAATCATTATTGTAGCCTAAATATCCAGGCCAAATTAAATTTCTAATTGTAATCTAAAATTATAATTTCTATTTACATTTCTTTTAGTTGAATCTGTTTAGACCGACCATTAATTATATGGAGTATCATCAACTAAAGAATCTAAAAAGTCAGGTCTATATAATGCTTCATCTCGAGCTATTAAAGATATCATTATATTGCAAACCTATAAGATCTTATTTATCCTTTCTGATGGGTTATCTAAAATGTTAATAATTTTTCAATTCTGCTGTGACACCCTTAAATGTTGTCTTAATCAATTCATGAGTTGGTGTTAATCTATATGAACCTACTGGAATTGAAGCACATTAAAATTCAATAGATTAAACTATATATGATAATCTCTCTAATTCTGAGAAATTTTTAGCTGGCAGTTACGCAGGAATTTCTAATGAGTCTTCAAAATTAATTTCTTCATCTGTTCTAAATACTATGTGTTCATGTTATCCAGTAAATGGCTCTCTTAAAGTTTCAGCTCTTTAAGCAAATTCTTCATTATATTTTGGTAATTCAGCAAAATGATAATTATTAGAACTTATTAATATTAGATGTTTTGTACCTCCAAAAGAATTTCTTTAATGGGAATTCATATTATCCTTTATATTGAATTCCAAGAGCTATATAATAATCTTTTTCTACTCCTTCAACTCTACCCCAAAATAGGACTTCATCAAAAATATAATGTTCTTGTATTTTGAGTATTGCTAATTGTAATCTCATTCTATTTGTATTAATAAATTAAATACCTTTCTTCAAGATTAAGTGTTTAACCTATTTAATGTACAAATTTCAAATCATTAAATGAAATATTCATTATATTAATTAATGCTTAAATTAAAGAGGGAGTATTTTAGAAATTCAATTCAAAAATTGGCTAGAGAAGAAATCTTTAAAAAGA